CACAAGGACCGGGGATCACTACACACAAAAGACCAGCTAATGACACCCATCAGTCACAGTGACAGATAATCTCTCCTCCTTATCACAGCAATACACCCACAACAAGACACACTAATCACCCATCTACAGAAAAAAAGGTTTGATTGATTTGAATTTGAAATGCAATTAAGCCCTTCCGAAGAAGTAACCTAAGCCAGTGGTTCTTAATCTTTGTTACTCGGATGCTTTTGAACTGCAACTCCCAGAAATCCCAGTCAGGGCAGCTGATGGTGGAGGCTTCTGAGAGTTGCAGTCCAAAACTCCTGAGTAACCCAAGGTTAAGAACCAGTGACCTAAGCTACCTGAAATCCCTCCCCAAATTCCCAGCAAAGTTGTTGATGAATGATGATGAAAAAGAAAAATATAAGTCTTTGCTTTGCTCCCGCAAAAGCAAAACAGCAAGAGCATCAGCAAGCCAGCGAGCAGCAACTGTTCTCACTCCAGAGAGCACGAACAGAAGTGGGGAACGGCCGGACGGGAAAAGCTTATATGAAGTGTCTGTAAAAGTAGATACACCTTTCAGCAGCGCTATTGGCTGCCAAACATGCCAATCCAGGATCTCTGTCCTGATTGGCCAGAGCTTTGAATTGGCGCCAACAAGCTTAGAGAGGCCCCCAAAAGAGGTAACAAATATAGACGAATATGAACGGATTGACTAATAAAACTGAGGAAATATTCATCAAGCCATATTCGTCCTTATTTAAAATTTTACAAATACAGATCAATGAATATATGACAAATCGGCTATATTCGGCAGAAAAACTGATCCATTTTTATATTCGTCTCCATCGCTAGTTGTAATCTTTTAAGGGCTGTCTCCCAATTCAAAAGTAGGTTATTCTTCCTTCTCTTCACATTTTTGTCTCTTTTTACTGTGGTAGCAGAGTCTTTCCGATTGAGAATGCATATTATAGGGCACCCTTTTTCCTAAGAAATCCTCATACTTATTTAGGTTTTTTCCCCATTGTTGGCACATGTAAAGCTTCATATACAGCAGTCTGTTTATACTGCCAACTCTTTGCTGCACCCACACTCTCTAAAAATATTTTCCAGGTGTTTTGTTGCCAACTTAGTTTGCTTGTTGAATGATTTTTAAAGTTTATACACAAAATAACAAACTGATTTCTAAAAATACATCTTGAACACTTTCAGGTCCTTTCACAGATGTAGTCACTACAAATCTTAAACTACGAAATCCATCAGACAGAAAAGTATGTTTTAAAGTGAAGACTACAGCACCTCGCCGGTACTGTGTGAGGCCAAATAGTGGAATTATTGATCCAGGATCATCTGTAACTGTATCAGGTAAAAATATTAAGTATCTTAATATTGGGCTGTTCCAGAAGCTTGCTCCAGAAGCTACAAGACTTTTAGGAGGAAGTTCATAATTAAATGATAGTTTTGTCTTGCTTCAGTTTACTTTATCAACAGGCTGTCATTCAAAGTGTGAATTTTTTTTTCAACATTTAAAAATATATCTGATATTTGTGGCCTACTGTGCAGTTCTGCTTCATGATGGCATTAAATGAACAATTTTAAGTTCCAAATGAACTGCAGTATACTGGCAGTCATGTAGATTTGTCCTGGATCTGCCATAGAATTTCTACCTTGTGAGATTTGCTCTGTTGGAAATAGCACCACCATTGTTTTTCCTGCAAGAACAGAAACCCTTCCAAATTGATACCTTTTTTTCCAGACAAAAAGGTTTAAATAAATCCAGAATTTTGGGGGGGGGGGTTGGAATAGGCCAGTGGTTCCCAAACATTTTCAGCTCATGGCTCCCATGGCTTACTGGCCACAGGCTACAGCTCCCCCAATATGATGCTTTGGGTGAAGGAGGAGAAAGGAGGGAATAAGCCCGGCCTGAGAAGTATTTCTGTAGCTTTTGCAATGCTGCTGGTTGGGTTTGGCAGCGCCCAAACACACAGTTTGGGAACCACTGGAATAGATGATTGAAATTAGTGTAGTCTATTTATTAGTCACAACTTATTCCTGTTGATTTTGTTGTATCTACAAAGGAAAAGCATGCGTATTCTAAGTTGTAAGTGATCATAAATGTGTGGAAATGGTATAATGGTTCAGCTGTGAGAGGTTAAGGCAGGACCCTTAACAAAAGAGTCAGACCTCTGTTTGAATTTGTTGACAGCCGCATCCTAAAGTTCTATGATATAATTTTGAAGTACAGTGGTGCCTCGCATTACGATTGCTTCGTTTAACGACAAAATCGCATTACGATGAACTTTTTGTGATCGCAAAACGATGTTTCCTATGGGGGAATTTCGCTTTACGATGATCGGTTCCCTGCTTCGGGAACCGATTCTTTGCAACACGACGATTTTCCAACAGCTGATCGGCGGGTTCAAAATGGCCACCAGGTAAATAAAATGGCTCCCCGCTGTGTTTAGGGACAGATTCCTTGCAAGACAGGCAGCGAAAATGGCTGCCCTATGGAGGATCTTCGCTGGACGGTGAGTTTTAAGCCCATCGGAACGCATTAAAGAGGTTTTAATGCGTTTCTATGGGTTTTTTAATTTCGCTTTACGATGTTTTCTTTCTACAGCGATTTCGCTGGAACGAATTAACATCGTAATGCGAGGCACCACTATATTTAGAAAGGACTACCATAGATGGTCTGTTGGCCTTTGTAGTGTAGTTCAATAATTCCTTGAATTTTAATGCTAGTCGATGTTAAGGGAAAGGTAGCCATGGCAGATCCAAGAGGCCAAAAATTGGTCACTAGACCCCTTGCTCATATCTACGGAGTGCCCCCTTGCATCCAAATTGTATGTTGCAAACACTTGAGGAAGAAGAGTTCTCTGGAAGGCTTTCACAGCCAGAATCCGATGGTTGTTGTAGGTTTTTCGGGCTTTAGGTTTTTCAGCCAAACAGCCCAAAAAACCAACAACAAGCAAGAGGAGTTCTATTAATCCTCTTTCTGGTGATTGTTAATTATATCCTTCCTATTTGAATAATAGTGTATCTGCCCTTATTTGCTCTCTCATGTATAGGACCGGGTACCTCTTTTCTCCCTGTAAGCATCCCATGGAATAAGAATGATTAAATAGCCTTGTAGCAGATTATATCTATGTTTTTCAGGTTTTTATGTTTTGATTTACAGTGGCTTAAGTAACTACTGACATTAAATTACAGAGCTCAAGTTGTTAGGCAAAAATAAAATATTGGAAATAATTTGTAAAATATATTCACAGTATTGGGGGTGTAACAGCTTCTTAAAAAGAGCACATTTACAATAAAAGGTAGAATTCATTTCAAGAGAGATCCCGGTCCAGTTATCTTATCTGTTGCTAAAACTGTGCTCCTTACTATCCCAGTCAATCTTTTTTAATTCTGAGTTTCAAATGTTTCAACAATCACATACCTTTGTATAATTCTTATTTTCTTTGTGCAGTCATGTTACAGCCTTTTGACTATGATCCAAATGAGAAGAGTAAACACAAATTTATGGTACAGACAATCTTTGCCCCACCAAACATTACGGATATGGAAGCTGTGGTAAGTAAATGAGGGCCTTAGATTACAGTTTTTAGCAGGCTAATAAGGTTAGCCCTCCTATAGTTTTTTTTAACAAGATTGCCTAAGCTTATTTTAGGCTGTTTCACACTTCTTAGAGTATGCCTGATTTCGGCTGTGCTAGCATAAGTGTGGTGTAAATGTATATTTCATTTAAAAACTATATGGGGGAATTTGGCTCATTTTCTTTCCTTCAGTGAATAAGTAGTACCTTTGTGACAATCAGTAGTTACTATACCATGGCTTACTGCAAATTATTGCCATAAACCTGGCCTAGTGATGAATATAGTTCAATCTAAGGGGAAAACTACATAATTCACATTTTTAAAAAGTGTAATATTATAGTTTTTTTTTAACAGTGAAGGAAAAGTGGCCTTGTAAGCTTTTGTATAGAGTACTGACACCATTGTCTCAGGCAGGATCTTTTGAGAAGTACTATTTTCTGGAATAGATGCATTCTGTTCTTATTAACATTTTTGGTAATGTCACTTTTCTGAAACATGTCCAGCAAGAAAATAAAATGGTATTATTTTGGCCAAGCTGTTAAAATGTGGGCTAGTTGATACTATTGTCAGGTGAGTTTGTAACTAATTCATTGTTACTACTAAAAGAATACTAACTTGTGGTTCCCTGTCATCCTGGAAAGAAATGGCAGGTGTGGTGCCAGATGTTTCACTGGACCTTGTGATGTTCAACATATTTATAAATAATTTGGATGAAAGAGTGAAAAGGTTGCTGATCAGATTTTCAGATCACACAAAACTTGGAAAAGCAGCTAATATTTCGGGAGACAAAACATGACCTTGACAGACGAGATTTGAACCACAACAAATAAAGCAAAGTTTGACAGGGATAAATGTAAAGCGTGACATACACACAGGAAAAAACAGATGCAGAAATATAGAATGGGTGCCACCTCGTTTGGCAATAGTATGTATGAAAAGGATCTCTTTGGTAATTTCACAGTCACAAATACATGTGTATGTGTGTGTTTGTCTGAGAGGCTTTTTTGAAATTATTGCTTTTGTTATAAGAATCCTCATCTTCTCACTTAACCTTGGCCTTTGCTTCTGTTGCTCTTTGTCTTTGTAAACAGCCATGCACTTTTAAAGCTCTGAAGTTAAATTGCAGCCTCTCTTTCCATTGAGAAATTTAGACATGTTAACTCTGGAAGTTTTTTTAAAAAAGACTTGCTGTAATCAAAATCCATTTTTCCTCTTTTCATCTTTCTGACCAACTTTGGTTAGCAATCTCAGAAAAGAAACAGCAACTGTTTCTCTTCAGACCATTATGAGGTGCTTTTTGCTATGGATGAGGGGGAATCACAAACACTTTGGAAAACAACAAACATAAAACTCGAAAATACTTGTTAACTACCTCTCTGTTTCTCTGGTCTCAGGACCCATAATCTGTTTCAGAATTTTGAATTTTTGGCTAAATTCCTCAAGTTCTGCAACAGGTGTGCAGGGATTTACAGAGTGGAATAGCTTCAAGTTCCTCAGAATTGTCCACTTCTTTTTCTCTCTCATTAACTGGTACTTATAATCTCAGTAACTCACTCTGAGACATTAGTAGTACAGTAGAAAGAATAAAAAACATTTTCTTTCTTACAGTTGTGAACAAACAGCAAACTGGCAAACTTGACTGCTTTCAGCAACAGATCTCAGCAGACTAAATAGAGGGGAAAACACTGAGCAGAGAGGCGGAACTCTCTTTGAATTCAGAGGTAGAGAAGGAGCACCTCAGGCCAGAAAGATCCCTCCCAGCTACTCCTACTAAAGGCAGTGTGCCAGGTTGAAGGGGGATCTTAAATGTTTACCCTTAACTCATCTGGTGGGGCATATCTTCTCTTATAATGGGTCAGTTATCATTGGTTTAAATTTTCTTTTGTCTATGGAAGTATAGTGAAAACAACATAAAGAGGAGATATTGCCAGACCCAAGGCTTATAGAATGCTTTCAAAATTTGACAAGAAACACTAGCATGTAAGGAAACCCACAAAAGCAGTGTCATAAACACCCAACAGACATAGGATATTGGCAGGGGGAGGATGAACTGACTGAGAGTGGGAATGGAGTGGCTAGAGAATGGAAGAAGAGAGGCATATTTTTTAAAAATGTCACAGTTGTGGCTTTCCTGGTTTAATCATCCAGGTAGCCATGGTGCTTCAATTTGTGATGTAATGAGAAGGAAACAGAGAGAGCAATGCATGTAGACACAAGACTAGTGTGTCTTGCCTTAATACATTGAAATATTTGTATCCAAACCAGGCCAGTAAGATTCCTGAAATCTTACAGTGAGGTGCATGTCTGAAGGAGTCACGTCTAGGTTTCTTACTTCCTGATCCTACTGTATCATGTTATTAATGTCTGTGTACTAAGCAAAGTTTGCATGTTATGAAAAATTCTTACAACTATTTTGAGTAAGGTAGTTATATTTTAATGTGATTTCATTGTTGCCATAGTGGAAAGATGCAAAACCTGAAGATTTAATGGACTCCAAATTGAGATGTGTATTTGAAATGCCTAATGAAAATGATAAGCTGGTAAGTAAAAAAAATTGCTTGTGACTTTATTTGCCAAGTCTGTTTCTTCATTTTTAATTTGCATCATAAAAATAAATTTTTTTCTTCCTTTTTGGTTTGTATTTTAAGATATCTTGTACTGGGTCCTTTTGAGGGGAAAGGTGGGGTAAAAATATAATAAAGAAAGAAAGAAAGAAAAAGAAAGAAAGTTTGACATCATAGAATCATAGAAAAGTGAAGTTAGAAGGAGCCTACAAGGCCATCAAGTCCAATTCCCTGCTCAGTGCAGATATACATCAGTGTAACTACCGTATTTTTCAGTGTATAAGACAACCCCATGTATAAGATTCCCCCCCCCACTTTTCTTACTCAAAATTTCTTTCTTCGCAAGAAAGTGGAGAGAGAAAGCACTTTCCTCACAAGAAAGTGGAGGGGGAAAGCAAGAATCAAAGCACTTTGATGATTCCTGCTTTCCCCCTCCACTTTCTTACACCTTCCATGTATAAGACTACCCTCAATTTTTAATCTAAATATTTTAGACAAAGGCATTGTCTTGAACCCCAACACTTTATGACATTTCTTCTAGCCCATAAACACTCAATGTTTGCTTCACCAAACTACTTCTGGATTGAAATGTGGCATCTGTTGGGCCTGCATGTCCCTAGCTAATTTTGTCAAATTTAAAAGTACCCTTTTCAAAACACTAGACACTGTTCCAAGTCCTCCATACAAAGCACGTTACCATAGTCTCTCAAGACTGAAGGATGCCTATGAAGAGTAGTCTTGGAGCTTCGAAGTCATATTGCTTGTAAATTGAGTGGAAGACAGTCCATTTTAACAGACATAGGGCTGTGTTTCAGAGAGGCACAGAGAGATATTTCTCATTTGAGATTGGATAGCATTGAATAATTCTTGAGTCACATGCAGTCTTTTGGAACAGTGACTGTTCTGAATATGAAAGTACATGGCAATCATACAATTTCATCAGTGTTGGATTAAAGGCAATCCTGCCACACTTAATTGTGTTTAGTAGGTGTGCGAGTATTTGAACAGTACTGAAATAAGTTGGTTATATAAATTAAAAGGGGTTGCTTGCATTTGAGTTACATGTGACTTTGATTATGACGTTTCAGTTAAGAATTATCAGTGTAGCTCCTGAGAATATTGAAATCTTTGGGAAGTGCTAGTCCAAGAGGCAGGACAGCTTCTTAATGTTTAATGAAGGACTTGCTAAATCCCCTGAAACTCTAAGATTCCAGGAATATAAATATTGTTTTGAACTGGCTTCTAATTTTAAATGTGCAGTAGTTTTGGAAAATACCAGTGACTTCCAGGATTGGCAGTTGCATTTCCATCACATTGTAGCCTTTGTCTGTGCTTCTTAGATCCTTGTCTTCTTGTCTCTACAGCACATTGTTCTTGGGGATTCTGTGTCTTCCTTTTCTCTCAGTTGTCTAGCCTCATGATAAATAGTTCTTGTGGTCATTATTGTGACCAGAATTCATTATTGTGACCAGAATACTAGACTACATTATGTGTGGGCCAGAATTCTCTTTGGAGGTTCACAGAGAGTACGCTTGAGGAAAAGTTTGTCATGGTTTCTGTAGTGGTGTCAAATACATGCAGCTTTAGAGGACTTGGGAAAAGATAAAAACTATGGAATAAACTTAATAGTAGTTGCTCTTGGAGTATACCTGTTGAAATGAGTTGGATTTGTTAGACTTAACTAATTTCTATTTATTTGTGAGCCTAGAGTACTCTGTGTTCACTTTCCTGTTTCAGGAAGCAGTGGTGTGAAAGAGAATATTAAGGTATCAAAAATGATATTCACCATGGTGAATTGGGCTGGGAGTTCTGTCCCATTTTTATCACCATGTTGTGTTATTATTGCTTACCTTTAATTATTTAAGGTAGACATTTATTTGCTTTTTGTTCTATAACTTGAAAATAAGGACAGTGCCCCTTTCATAACAGACCTGAACTCTGTCTTTTCCTTCTCCAACAACTACAGAGTCCAGGAAGTACGGGAGGCATTTGTACACACTTCTGGCTCTGCCTAGAGCATCCATTTGATCTGTTTAAGTTTTTTTTCACCTAAAAATACACCCATCCAGCCAACCCTGATGGGATTCAGGCAAGACTTATCTTTGCATGTAAAGTGTACACCAAAATAAGTGTCAGAGTATCCAGTTCCCATAAAATATGGTGCATGTAGAAAATAATATAGCTCTTTTATTAAATAGATACAATTACCATTTTCCCAGGAAGTTTTCAAACATATAGCCATGTTAGTCTGTGCAAGCATATCCAGACAAAAATCAAACAAAATTTTAAAAAAAGGCATAAACATGGTAGTGTCTTGAACACTAGATGTTTAAAGAACAGGCCAAGACTTACGTATCCAGAATCAGCCTACTACAGGGCAGATACAGAAAAATGACTGAATACCATTGGTTGTCACCTTCAGCTCACAACTGAAATCATCTACATGGATCATTAGTCATCTACAACCCATCCCCCCCCCCCAAGATTCTTAGGCTCCCTTTGGTCCTGGAGAAATCTTTGGATACAGCAGGGTGGTGTGGGAGAGGGAGTCTTAAATTTAATATGGAGTAACTTTACATTACTAAATTTCAGCCTTTGTTATTGGGGAAAAAAGAAATATAAAATCAGATTACAGAGTAAGGCAGCTAAAATCAGATTCACACATAAATTCCAGAACTTATCAAAAGGATTAATTATTTTGTTATTCATAATATATATTAATAAACAGTTCTCACTGTAATGTTTTTCATGGATCAGATCCCTCTGACATTTAGAAGAGTTGCCAGGATATCATTGGATTGGATAATAAAGGCTTAGGTTAAGAAGTTGATACAAGAACAGGCCTCGTTGGTATGCAAACAGCCTTTCCATTTCTTGTGACATATTGAAGGCAAACTAGGCCTTCTTAATTGAACTTTAGTATTGAACAGGAAATTATGTTGTAGCAGTTTTAGACCAGACCAGGATATAAACTGTTTTTTGAATTTAGCCTCCTATCCTGGCTTTTGAAAAGCATGTTTAAACATAAATTTCTCCCCTCTTCAGTGCACACCTTAACATAGTGGATTAGTTTGGATGTGTCAAGGAAGATAAGAGCAATGCTATCCTGAGACTAAACTTTGTTATAAGTCTGGGGTAACCTAATACAGAATGGTCAGTGCCAATGCATCAGATTAAAATGCTTCCATTACCTGAAAGAATTAATAGTTTTATCAGAAGAGGAGAATTGATCGTTCTTTGAAGGGCAGCTACAGTGAGCAGCAGTAGCAGAAGATGACACTAGTAGAAGGGCTTCTATAGACAACACATTGTCTAGGATAAGGCAATGATAGGTCATTTCTGAATACAGTGGTGCCTCGCTTAACGAGTGCACCGTATAGCGATGTTTCCGTATAGCGATCCCTTTTTCGGGATCGCTATACGGAAACATACCCGATCTTCGCAATGGGGAAAACCCGCATTGCGAAGATCAGGTATTGCGGCGGCCATTTTGGAGCCGCTGAACAGCTGATCGGCGGTTCCAAAATGGCCGCCGGAAGCCCGGAAATGGCTGCCAGCAGCCGTTTTCGCGCCCTGCCCTCGCTTAGCGAAGGCGCGAAAATGGCTGCCGGCACCTGGAATCCTCGCTGAACGGGTAAGTAACGTTTAGTGATGATTCCGTATAGCGAGGGTTAATCCGGAACGGATTAACCTCGCTATACGGGGCACCACTGTATTTATACCTTGAAAGTCCTACGACGAGATAATTCAAAGGAAAGCAAAAGGTTGTGGTGGAATATGAGACTCCTAGGTTGGAAGGCATTCAGTCATCTATTAGGGAAAAGTAAAGGATAACTATGAAAATACTTGCTAATCAAGCAATTGAATTAAAGGTGAAATGACAGCTAGTTATTGATGTGTGCCGGTGCCAAAGGAAAGTCCAAAGCTGCACAGTGCAGAATGTACATAGTGGTAATATGGAATGTGAGAAATGAATCAAACTATGCTTGAAATTGTAAAACAAGAAATAAAATATAAATGTAGTAATTTGGGTAGGTGAAGTAAGTGGACTGGAATAGGATAATTACAAATCAAGAGAAGAAAATAGGATAATTACAAATCAAATTATTGCAAAGTTTTATTATGGGAATGATAAACTCAAGCAACAGTGCAGTTCTAAAGTGAGACAAAGCAAAGCAGTCTGACCAGCCAGATTTCATGAAAGTGTATAGCCGTGGTTCATGTCTGTGCTCCTTCTGCAGATGCTGAAGAAGAAATAGAAAAATGTATGCACTTGTTCAAGAGGAAATTGATTATGCACCAGGATGTGCTGATAAACATGAATAGAGATGGGCATGAACTGCCAGTTTTTGGCAGTTTGTTTACTGGTCGCTCAGCTTCCCTGCCCTGCCTCCTCTGGGTACTACCTCTGAATGGTTGCCTGCTGGAGGGGGCGGGGTGCCAAACCATGGAATACTTGTAGGGCCAGTAAAGAAACTGCCAAACAGCAGTCCTCTGCTGCTGTTGCTGTTGCCTCCTTACACTTGAGTATACTGGGTAAATCTTATTTGTGAGTAAACCAATGATCCAAAGACCTGCATGGATGGTGTTTTGTCTTGCAATACAAGGAAGTAATTGCTTCCTCTCTTCAAAGTTAACCATAGTTTAGCATTACGTCTTGACTAGGATTAAAGATAGCAAAGTTGGCCAGCATGACCAGAAAAGAATAGTATGTAAACTGAGAGACATTTCTGTTTTCACAAGTACATAGGCAGAAATGCCAAGATTATGGCAATCTTTCTTTCGTGTTTAAAATTGTTATATCTGTAGAAAATGTAATTTTAGAATGAGCTGGAGAAAAGGTAAAAAATGTTGTATTTCCTCCCCCCCACTTCTTTAGCTGTTTGGCTCTTTGAAGACTTCCAACATGTGTTCGCTAACTTTCTACTTTTAACAATACTTATTCCCCCCTGAGTTTTGTTACCTTGGAAAATAAAATATTTAATTTTTAATACGAATGTTGATTAAAGAGTTGTATTTTTCAAACAGTATTTTAAATTTTTGCAGAATGACATAGATGCGAGTAAATCTGCTCCAGTGCTCAACACAGCTAAACAAGATGGTCCAGTGCCAAAGCCACATAGTGTTTCGCTCAATGACACTGAAACAAGGAAGCTAGTCGAAGAATGCAAAAGACTTCAGGCGGATGTGGTGAAACTATCAGAGGAAAACAGACACCTGAGAGTAAGTTTCATGAAGCTGGGATACTTGCTCTTAAATAGTAAAATTGGACTGGGCAGAATAGTTTGTTAAATTTCTTAAACCATAGTAGTTCTAGAGTCCTTGTTGCACATTCAGTCTCATTTTCTTTTTTCTGAGAATAATGAACAGCTGGATTTCTCAAAACCATTACAGTTTTCCTGGTTACAACATATTTAACTTGACAGATTTTTCTTTATCAGGAAGGTAAAATTGTTTTTAAACACATTTGACAGAGGAGAGAGAGAGAATAATTTTTGTGCCACCTGTTTCCCATAGCAAAGCGTGCTGCTTATATACCGCTTATATGCCGCCCCATAGCACTGCAAGCACTCTCTGGGCAGTTTACAAGTTAGTTATGAAGGCTACACATCCCCCCCCCCCCCCCGGCGCCGGGAGCTCCGTTTTTCCGCCCGAAGGCTGAGTTAACCTTGAGCTGGCTACCTGGGATTGAAAACCGGGTCGTGAGCACAGTTTTGACTGCAGTACGGCAGTTTAACCACTGCGCCACGAGGCTCCTATAGAAGGACTCCAAGTAGCTCACAGTAAGTAAAATACAAGTAAATTTAAAAGGAAAATACATTATTCAATTTTAAAAAATAAAACATAGACTAGTATAAAATAATTATCTAAAACATGTTTAAATTCTTTAAAAGCACAATTAAAAATACTATGTGCAAATTTACAGAAGAGTCAATCTTAAATGCTCAGTGTAGTTTAAAAGCCTGTTAAAAAGAAACATCTTGATCTGTTGCTGGAAGGACAAGAGGAAAGGGACCAACCTTGCCTTCCAAAGTAGGGCACACCTGAGAGCAGCCAGGGAGGAGGCCCTCTGTGAAGGCCGTGACACTGAGAAGGGCCTCCCATGAGGATCTTAGGAGCCAAGAAGGCTGGTATGGGAGATACAGTCCTTCAGATAGCCTGGGCCTAAGCCGTATAGGGCTTTTATATGTCATAATCAACACTTTGAATTGGCTTCTGAAAGAGATTGGCAGCTAGTGAAAATCTTGGGTAACATAGCAGTTATATGCTTCCTGTAACTGACCCCGGTTATCAGCTTGATGGCAGCATTTCAAGCTAGCTGAAGTTTCCAAACCATTTTCAAAAGTAGCCCCCCATTGAACACGTTACAGTAAATCCAAGTACAGTGGTGCCTCACTTAGCGACGTTAATCTGTTCCAGAAAAAATGTTGCTAAGCGATTTTTAAAAGCCCATAGAAATGCATTAAAACTTGTTTAATGCGTTTGTATGGGCTTTAAAACTAACCTTATGCGATGATCCTCCATTGCGGTGGCCATTTTCAGTGCCTCTAAAGCGAGGCAACACAGCGGGCGGCCATTTTGTTTTCCGGCGGCCATTTTGAAACCGCCGATCAGCTGGCTGAAAATGGGAGCTTTGCAGTGATCGCTTCCCCGTGAACATCGCAAAGCAAATTTTCCCCATAGGGGCCATCGCTAAGCGATCGCTCTGGCGATGGCCAAAATCCCATCGCTAAGCGATTTCATCGCTCAATGGAGCGATCGCTAAGCAAGGCACCACTATAAAGTAATATGAGATACATTGATCTAAGCTTAATTGAACTTCCAAACTGGCCTTTCTGTTCAGAAAATCCACGTAATACCAGATAAATGTATTTCAGATAAATGTATTTCTCAAGAATTTAATTTTTGATCTGGTACTGCCAAATACATATTTTACACTCTCTGTTTTTTGAAAAGAGATTTCAAAAATTGCTTATTTTTAAAAGAAATTTAGAAAGTCATTTAATTTTGTCAACATTCTTTGAACTACTACCAAGGTATTTATTAGTCAAGACACCTATGTTATTATGTGCCACCAAGTTGATCTTGATTTATGGTAACCCTATGAATGAGAGATCTCCAAAGTGTTCTGCCCTCAACAGCAGTAATTTACAAACTCAAGACTGTGTGTCAATTTATGGAGTCACTCCATCTCATATTTGGTCCTCCTCTTTTCCTGCTGCCTTCAACTTTTCCTAGCATTATTGTCTTTTCCTACGAGATTTGCTTTCTCATTATGAGCTCACCTTTAATGTCTGCTTCCATGTGCCATCATTTTTTGCAGTCTGCTTTAATTTTATGGTTCTACTACTTGAACTGCCAAATTATGGTATATTTAGGGCTCTATTTACACAGTTTGCTTCCATTAGATTTTGGGTGATTACTTCTGCTCTCACTCAATCACTCAGTCTACAACAGTATCCGTTAAGTCTGAGAAGGAGCTTTTGAGGTATCTAGGAAAGTAGCAAAGATGAGGAGGTTACGTGTGTAAAGTTCATTCTGTTTGAGCTATTGAAGTCCAAGTTATCGTTTACATCAGTGGTTCTTAACGTGGGCGATAATGCCCCCCAGGGGGCGATTTCATTTTTCAGGGGGGCGGTAGAACGAAAAGGGGCGGCGTGGGGG